TATGTCAGAATCTGACTGCTAATAGGCCAGAAATAGCCATTCTTTCTTTCTTGTCTTTGTCGGTTCCACTTCATATCAGAATATGTCTGAATAATGTGAAAAGTCACCTGCCTTAACAAGACATACGTCTGATTTTACATAAACCAGTCGGCACGAGTCGCAAGAGTCGGCGCCTATCCAAGAGAATAAAGGAATACCTCCCGCAATGGCTAAGCAAAGGTGAAGTCAATACCACCAGGACCATCAACAGCTCTACTCTAGCGCATCTGGTGGATTCTGGACATTGGGTGGAGCCCAACGAAGCCTTCAGGGTGATCTACAAGGTGCCACCAAAGTACCCTAAGTCACTGGGTCAGCGCCTGCTAGCAACAGCAGAAGCAACCGCTATCCGGTTGAGGAAGCCAGTTTCGTGTTCGCAAAAGAACCTGCTGCAAGCTCCCAGCTTAGTATGACCAACGGCCACCTAGCTACCGGCATTCTTCCGCGCCTTCTCTCTCCCTTCCCTCCCCTCTCCCTAATTGCCGCTTAATTAGCCGCTCGTTACTACTTCCAACCCTCTCCCCTATTCCCTGGACTTATTTGCCTGTAACGTTGAATGTAATTCACCTACAATTTTACCTTTTACACTTTACCCCCTCCCATATAAATGTAACGGCCTGATGAGAATTTACTGAAACCATACGTATGCTCGCTAATTGCTCTTCGGATTTCTGTGATGGGAATCTTGCGATCTTTACATAAACTCTCGTTAGGCCTGTACATGTATATCGTTATTTACTAATGATACTATGTGGGTTGGTAGACAAAGAGTACGGTTTTCAGGGTAGGTGGGGAGGGGCAGGGGAGGATGGATCGGGGTCAGAAATCTGATCAGTAGTAGGGGGACCGGTAGCCGCGAAAGATGATAGGGTGTGGGCTGTTGGTGTCGGTGGTTGGCTACGACAGAAGCGGCCGCCATCAGGTTACGCCGAACGGTCCTGTGCGCCCAAAAGAACTTCGTAACGGTGCCGCACTTACCATTTTTTTTCACCAACCCTTAAGTTCGCCAATTTATCTTCAGAAAAACTTTACAAATTGATTCTTCTTCCAAGAAGCATCAAATCACGCCCTCGAACTCCAAATATCTGCCCTACTGTGACCTCTTCTTCCGACTGTACATGCAGGTATATAAATGCGGTACAACCAACAAGATAAAACGGCTTTAGGCTTTATGAGAGCGTTGACGACCTATAGACTCAAAGAGAACTTACTTTTTCAGGCCACTTTTTGCGGCGTCGTAAATGCGGCGACTGTCGTCATAGTCTCTGTCTAAGGGACCTGTTGGCGCGTTTATCTGCATTTTGAAAAAGCGAAACAAGTCTAAATTTATGAGGTCCCTGATTATGCTATCAATATGAAAACAAAGAGGGTTAACTTGCATGGTATGAGCAGCAATAGTTTGTCTAATTTATGCTGAATTACAGAAGACACATTTGCATGGCCCTTAGAAGAACACCAATTAATGCTTTGAACAAACAATTTATTCAAATTCTCGTACGGTATACAGCTGGTTGAAAGCTGATGTGTATTCGAGAGTGGTTGCGGAATCGATTTCGCTGACCAAATTTCAAGACAAATTGCCTAAGATCTGGCAAATTCCGGTGCAGTTCAGGGCAAGCGTCTGTTTGTTTTCCTGTCTACGTTTAAATAAAGCATGGTGAAGTTTTCGAATATCCCCATCAGTCGCACGTGGCAATCCTCCAACGATACCGGAAATTGACTGGTTTAAAAAGTAATAAATGAAAAAGTCGAGCTTAACCAATCAACGTTCGGGAACTTACAATTCTTCTGCTGGGATTTTCCGGAAAGGGCACAACACATTCTTCAATGAGCGCCTGCGGATTAGCCTAAAATGAACGATATGGAAAACGAACTTTGGTATCAAGTAGAGCAGTACTAGATAACCGCAAGCTAGGCCGCCATTAAGGTTGTTTAAAAGGATCACGCTTTGGATGCACTGTTTATCTTGTTGAGTGCGGCATAAGCCCACGTTGAGGGAGTTCTTAAGTAATCGTGTCCAGCTCTGTATACACAGTTCATACCGAATCCGCTCAGTCTGTTAGAAAATATCAAAAATTTACAAAGCAGTAAGTTTTTCTGGTAGTCAGAACGTTTATTTTTTGTGCAAAAAGGTAAACCAGCCGTCGTTATGATGAATGTGAAACTGCACTTTACTCTACAGCCAGGTGACGTAGTAAATAAACTTACAGATAGGCTGCACATGTTTTTTAACCAACTATGTTCTATCGTGGTTTCGCGAATAAACGAAGGCAGCACATTACCACAGACACCTCACCTGTTGGATGGACAGAAAAAATGACATCATTTATTCATGTACTCATTCTTCCGTTTCAGTACGTAACCCTCAGTTGTTTTCATCGGTTATTGCATAGTATTGCAAAAACGTATAACGGCTATAAACAATTACCCTCTCAGAATATGAAAGTCTCGTTTGGTGATCTGGTAAGACGAAAGGAAATATAAAATCATTTCGCGTTCCGCATTAAAGTTCACGGACGGGATTCTGGGATATTGTGGGTTTGAGCCTAACCAAGTGGATGCTTTTCCTTCTATTTCTCTTTTCCTACTGCCTTTTGTCTACTTTTACCTGAGGTATAGCATTTAGTTTCCTCCACTTAATGGATAGTAGTATGTTACTAGCGCGGAAGCCCGGCTTCGCCTTGGCTTCCTTACCGTTGTTGTCC